TACCTAGACACTAGCTTTGTGACCCTAGGCAAGACGCTCAATCTCTCTTAGATTGAATTTTTTCTCATCTGCAAAATGGGAATAATAATATTAGCATCTACCTCACAGGGCTGTTGTGAGGAGCAAATGAGATACATATAAAAGCATTTTGGAAACCTTAAAGTGCCATATAAATGTTAGCTATTATCAAGTCATTTAACTCTCAATGCTTCAGTTTCCCCATTTGTTTAAAAAAACATAATAATAGTTAATCTCTAATATTCCTTCCAGTCCTACCTTTTTTTGACTTTATGATCTACTTTTTCTATCCCTTCAATTGATCCCTAATTAACTATAGTATTGCTTTAATTATCCGCCAAATAACACACCCCTTCTCAATTCTCATAGTTTCTTGTTGCTCATAACATCAAATGCAAACATTTTATTGAAACCTTTTATGTTTTGTAGCACAGTAATTTCCTAGTATTACCCATTCCCCATCAGAACAGAGAAAAGCAGTTGAGCAAAGCCAACTTGCATGATACCCAAGAAGCAAAAGTATTTTATCATTTCTCCTACCAGGGGTGGGGAACCTGCGGCCTTGAGGCCCTCTAGGTCCTTGGGCTCAGCCTTTTGACTGAGTCCAGATTTTATAGAACAAATCCTTTTATTGAGGGGATTTGTTCTGTAAACTTTGGATTCAGTCAAACAGCTGCACTTGAGGACCTGGAGGGCCGCATATGGCCTCTAGGCAGAAGGTTCCCACCTCTGTGCCTAGACCAAGATTGACTGTTACAGTTTCCTTAAGTTTGGCCATTTCAGTGTTGTTTTCTTGATGTTATTACAGTCATCATGGGTGGTCTTCTTCTGGTTATGCTCTTTTGTTTGTGCAAGTCAGCCATGCTTCCTACAGCTCCTCCTCGTCATTATTTCCCAGTATGTTCATATGTCTGCCTTGTTCAGTCATTGTCTAATTAGTAGTTCTTAATTTAAATGTCTACCAAGAGGTACACATTGTGCTAAGCGCTTTAAAAATTTTCTCTTGTCTGATCCTCATAACACCTGGGAGGTGGTGCTGTCATTATCCCCATTTTATAGATGAGAAAACCGAGGCTGACAGAGGTGAACAGATTTGCCCAAGGTCACACAACTAGTGAATGTCTGAGGTTATATTTTAACTCCTGTCCAGAAAAGCGATTCTGTTTTGTTATTTTCTATACACTTATAGCAGTGAGTAAGAAAGATAGAAAGAAATAAGACTTATGGCAAAGAGATGTCATGAAGCTATCAAAATAATTGTGGGAGTAAAATCAGTATTAAGAGAAATGGAAATAAACCAGAAGCAGTAGAAATCTTAAGAGGCATGAGCAGCAAAGGTCTATCCTGATCTTCTTCTGGACAGGGAGGACCGATAATATGATCTCAGAGCACAAGTGAGAGGAAATTAGGTGGATGCAGCTGAATGACTAAATGCGATAAATGGTGATGAATGGATTAATGCTAACCTCAAAGGTGGTTTCTAATGGAACGCCCAAGGGATGCTCTGGAAGAACTGATAGGATTTAGAATTACAATGGAATTGAGAGATTATTTGTCCAACCCCCTTTTTTACTCATTATTCGGAGTAAACTGAAAGAAGGCAAAATAAGCAGAACCAAAAAAAATAACAAAAAGGAGGACTACAGCAGTGTATATGAAAAGATCACTAAAAAGGAAGTTGAACTTAGTGTCACTGAAACGCCAGAGAAGATCCCTGAGAAAAGAAAATGAGATATAACATTTTCCATCGGTGCAGCAGAATGGGGATCTACAAGAACAGTGTTGTGTACATTTCTAGTCTGGAGGAGGAGTGGTGAAAAACCATCATAAGGTTAAGAAAATGGAAAGGACCTGAGAGGTCTTCTAGTTCACCCATCTGTTAGCCCATTTTACAGAGGAAGAAACTGAGGCTGCACAGGGACTTAATGACTTGCCCAAGGTCACCCAAGTAGTTAATGGCAGAACCAGGATTTAAGTCAGGAACTCTAACTATAAACCTTTTGAAGGACAAAGCAGCTAATGTTTTTAAGGGTCCACTGTGTGCCAGGTACCATCCTATGTCCTGGGGATACAAGTTCAATGAATAAAACTCTCAAGGGGCTTATAGTCTAATGAGAAATGACAATTGATCAACAAGCATTTATTTATTAGGTACTTATTATGTGCCAGGCACTGTTACAGGGTCTGGAAATACAAAGAAAGGCAAACACAAGGGCATATATAATCATATATAAAATAATTCTAAAGGAAATAGATACAAAGTAGTTAAATCCCAGGTTGTTTGGAGGGCAATAGAGATTGGGGGTACCAGGAAAGGCTTCATTTAGAAGAAGATACAGCTTGAGCTGTATCTTAAAAAAGCAGTCTGTGAATCTTTTTGTGGTGGCAAAGAATTGGAAATTGAGAGGATGCCCATCAATTGGGGAATGGCTGAGCAAGTTGTAGTATATGAATGTAATGGAATACCATTGTGCTATAAGAAATGATGAACAGGCTGACTTCAGAAAAACCTGGAAAGACTTATATGGTCTGATGCTGAGTGAAGTGAGCAGAACCAAGAGAACTTTGTACACAATAACAGCCACATTATGCAATGACTAAGATTGTTAAACTGAACCCTTCTCAGCATTACGAGGATCTAAGACATCTCCAGAGGCCTCGGGATGGAAAATGCTGTCCACATCCAAAGAAAGAACTATGGAAGTCGAATCGCTATCACTTATTTTTACCTTTTGTTGAGTTTTGTTTCATCTTTCTGATGGTTCCTCCTATTGGTTTTAATTTTTACTTACAACTTCACTAATGTGAAAATATGTTTAATAGGAATGTAAATGTAAAGCCTGTGTCAGATTGTGCACTGTCTTGGGGAGGGTGGGGGAGAAAAATTTTCAACTCAAAAGCATATGGAAGTGATTGTTGATAAATCAAAATAAATTAATAAAATTTTAAAAAAAAAGGAGGAAGTCTGTGAAGCAGAAGAGAGGAAGGAACATATTTTAAACCTAGGAGAAAAACCAGTGCAGAAAGTGGGTTTGTCATGGGCATGGATTGTCATGTGTGAGAAGCAGAAAAGGGCAGTTTCAGAGTGTAGGAGGGGAAGTAATGTACAATGAAGCTGGAAAAATAGGTTGGGGACAGTTTGTGAAAAGCTTTAACAGCTAAAAAAGAAGAGTTTATATTTTATCCTAGGGGCAACAGGAAATTACTGAATTTGGTTGAATAGTCAGGCAATTTAGAGATGATAAGATCATTGTTTAGGAAAAATTCCTTTGGCAGCAAGATATGGAGTAGAGTGGTAAGAGACTTAAGAGAAGGACCAATTAGGAGGCCATCACAATAACCTAAACAGGAGGTGATAAGGACTGAACTAAAGTGGTAGTTGCCAAGTAGAGAAAAGGGATCAGATGCAAGGCATATTATGGAAGTGGAAACAGGAAGATTTGGCAACTAATTGGGTATGTAGAATGAGAAAAAGTGAGCAGTTGAGAATAATGCCAGGGTTACAAGCATAAACAACTGGAAGAGTGGTGATGTCTTCAACAAAAAATAGGAAACTTCGGTAGAGGGGTGGGTTTTTGGAGAAAGATACAAGTTTGGTTTTAGACATGTTGAGTTTGAAATGTCTCTGGCACTTTCAGTGTGAAATCCAGTTGATAATATGAGACTGGAACTGGGAGAGAGACTTGGGTTGGATGTATAGATATGAGAGTCACTGGCATAAAGATGATTGAACTGATAAAAGACATTAAACTGATGAGCTTTTATGAGGTTGATAAGAGATTACAGAGGGAAAAGAGTAAGGGGCCTAGGACAGCTTTAGGAACACCCCCAGTTCAGGTGCCTAATGTGGATGGTGAGATGATATTGGGAAGAAATGGTTAGACAAGTAGAAGGAGAACCAGGAGAGAGTAATGTCAACAAAGCTCAAAGAAGGAGGAGGAAAAAGTGGTCAGCAAATGGATTGAGAAGGATAGGGACTGAAAAGAGAGGATGGGATTTGGCAATTAGATCATTGCTACTTTTGTTGAGGTCAGTTTCATTTGAGTGATGAGGAAAGAAGCCATATTGCAAAAGCCAAGAGCTAGGTAAGAAGAGAAGTGGAGTCAGTCATTTAAAAAAAAAAACCATGAACACTGGAAATATTTAACATAGAGAAGAGAAAGTTTGGGGAGATACATGATCACTATCTTCCAATTATTCAAAGAATTGTTGTGTGAAAATACATTTTTTTTACTATGCTTCATCCCAGAGGTCAGAACTAAGATGAAGGGTTGGGAACAGAATGGGTTGTTTCACTACCTAGCAACTTCTCCAACACTGGACATGTTTAAGCAGAACCTGAATAATCACTTGATGGAGATGTTGTAGAAGGGATTCATGCTTCACGTAGGAGTGGATTGGATTTCATCTGTCATCAACTCTAAAATGGCAGGTACTTCCTCCCAAGGTTCTAGTCTTTTCTACTTTAACAGCTAAAACTAGATTTTTGGTGAGAATCAGGTCCTAAGTAACACTTACTCTCCCTGCTTCTGCTACCTTGATTGAAGATTGAAACTGCCAATGAAGCAGGTCAAGAAAGCTGCTCTGTACTGTTTTTATAGAGAATTCCAGCAGTTGAATGAATAGTTGAAATCCCCAGTCACTACTATAGTATAGACTGTTAGAATTGGAATCAATTAACACAAATTTATTAAGTACTTGCTGTGTGCTATACAGGGGATCGATTACCAAAACAGAATGAAAGTTCCTGCTCTCAAGAAGCTTGTAACGTCCCCCTGTATCTTTCTAAGTGTTAATGGACCCTTCCTACCTTTCTTTTATCATCCTATAAAAATCTGCCGCAAGAGTTTGATATTCCCCTGTAACTTTCATTTTGTCATTTTGAGTTTTTTTGGTAACTTTGTGAGCTTTTGTAAATAATGCCATTTTTTTTCCTGAGTCAATTTTTGTCTCATTCAAAATTTGAATGCTTTTTATTCTAGGTAAATGTGGGGATCATGTTGTCATAAAGAACACAAGGCAAATTGCGTTTTCTGGGAACAAATGGGAACAGAAAGTATACTCTTCACACACTGGGTAAGTTAAGTGATGATAATATCAGTGTAGCTAATAAGTTAGCATGATGTTGAACTTGCTATTGCTCTTTAAGGTGAGTAGCATTATTGATGTATTTTTAAAACTACTTTTTAAAAACTTGTTTTTAAGAAGGAATTGCTTTTACCTTTGCTGTATACCTAAATCACTCTTAAATTGACTGCATACAACTTTTATTTTCAGTCACAGTATACAAAAATATTTGATACTAGCTGTAATTTTTACTCTACCAAGACAAGCCTTTAGTATGAATAGGAACCAGGCTCCCATCCTTTCTTACCTAAATTATTATGATTTCCCAGTCAGCATTCCAGCCTCATGTGTTCATTCCCTTTAATTTAAATACAACTGCAAAAACCATTCCATTCTCTTTGGAGAAGAATTTTATCATGTCTTTCACTACTGCTATACTGAACTCTATGCAGAGTTCTATGGTGCCTTTTTGTTTTTATTATCGAAACCATATTTCCTACTAAAATAGTTCCTGTTCTAACCCTGCCATACAAAATGCATCTCCGTTTTTCCCACATGGTGTCTATAGCTTATTGAAACAGACCTCATTGTCTACATCCTGTTTATCCCTTTCCTTTCTAGGGATCTTGTGCAGGCCTGGACTTTGTTTTTGCCAACTTTGGTACACTGAACCAAATCTGTGAGGTCTTACTGAATTTAACTTAAACCCGTCTTTACACATTTCAGCTCTATAACTCACTTTCTTTTACTGGTCATTGAGGTTATTCAAAAAATTTAAAGGTCATTAAGAAGATAATACAAAAAAAAAGCAAACAGGATAACAAGATTGTGACCAAATTAAATCTCCACATTGATGCAAAGTGTCATTATGTTCTTCTGAAAGTAATAACCAACAGTACACTTTCATGATCTATGATAATGCAAGACAGTTCAGAACAACCTTCCGTGTGCAAACACAGTGATACCCATATATTGGTAGTCATCCTATCTTCTCGAAGCTCCCTTATATAGGAGGAAAGCATTGGACTTTTATAATAACTGTTTTCCAATTTTACTTTTTAAAACTTTATTATTTGTTTCAAAACAAAATGCCAGTTAGTATCTTACTTTATGGTTTCAAGGGATACTTGATGCCTTCAGGACACACACAGCAGAAAAGTACAAACACATTAGAAATATAGTAGTTTATTTCTAAATTATTTTTTTAAAAAAACCTTTTGAAACAGTAACTAAAAGAAGAAAAAAGGATCTCTAAAAATGGCATTTCTCCTATCATTAAAAACAAAAGTACCCAGTTATACTATGTACAGATTTTCATTCTTCTTCTTGAAATCTCTCAATATATAGACCTGTGTCATGAGCACTGCTGACAGTTAAAACCCCAGAGACTTGGTACTGTTTGCCTACACAGTGCTTTCTCATATCCACTTTGTGGACTACCCGTCTAAGCTTTTAAGGTCACTCAGCAATCACTTTAGAAGCATTCAGAGGCAGCTAGGTGGCGCAGTGGGTAGAGTCCAGCCGTAGAGTCAGGAGGTCCTGAGTTCAAATCCGGCCTCAGACATGACACTTACTAGTTGTGTGACCTTGGGCAAGTCACTTCACCCTGATTGCCTCAGCAAAAAGCAAAAAAAAAAAAAGAAGCAGCAGCAGCATTCTATAAAGATCTGAAGGTATCAAAGGTGATAACTCTGTTATTCTCTTGTTCTGTGACATTTTGTCCATGGTGGAAAAGTGGACAGGAAATAAAATTGCCAGCCAGACAGCCGAGACTGAAGTGTTGTGGCATTTAATCAGCCAAAAAGATTCACAGTGACCTATTAGCACATTAAGCTTTACTTCTTGGACAGTGTATACACAGAAAGCATTTTAAAAATCACTGGACCAGTCTGTTCATCTCTGCAGAATAATCTTATATTTGAATGGTGTTTTGTACTTTTCAGAGGACTTTCACTTATAGTAACTAATTTGACAATACAGAAAAATTAAGTAAGTCAGCCAAGTTTTGTCATCACCCAGTGTGAGTCTTCTGTATAGCAGCTCTATGTAGCAACCCTGTTTCCCACACTGTATAACACTAAGCAAAACTCAGAGAAGGTAGATTCCAAAACTTAAGTAATCCACTGCCAGTTTTACAGTGGCAAATAGATTTGGCCAATGTTTCCGTTTTAAGTCTAAATGGTTAGATGACAAAACATCAGCTCTGTTCAATTATGAATATAATATGAGCTTAAATATAATTTAAGCTTAGCATTCCTTTATGTTCCCCTTGTATATTAAGTTGTAGTTGAGGCCCTGTGATATAATTATGCCCTTGAAATTTCTAAGGACTAAAATTGCTATATATAAAATAACAGCAGTTATAAAAATATTTCAGATGCTTGGAGTTTAAGACATTTTCAGAAAACTACTTTAGGAAGAATGATTTTTCTTATCAGTGTAAAATGATGTATTTATGGGATAGCAAGGTGGTGCAGTAGATAGAGCACTGGCCCTAGATTCAGGAGGACCTGAGTTCAAATGCAGCCTCAGACACATAACACTTACTAGCTGGGTGGCCCTGGGCAAGTCACCCCATTGCCTAGCCAAAAAAAAAATTATATGTACATATATATATATATATATATATATATATATATATATTTAATTGTGGAATATTGTGTAGAAATACCATTCTTCCCTCCTTGTTTAAAAACATGTGTTTATTTAATAGCTACCCGGGTGGTTTCAGACAAGTTACAGCAGCTCAGCTTCACCAGCGGGATCCAGTGGCAGTAAGTCTTAACATTTTTTGCAAATATATTATTTGGAAAGCATCTCTTAAATATTTCCTCAAAACAAGTCTGTCACCTCTCTCCCTAATGCGTGTTATCCTCTTTTTATTTCTTTCAAACAAGCTACAAAGACTGATTTTAAAGGGTATAATTTGTCAGAGAGGCAGTATTCTGATACAATGAAAAGAAGATTGAATTTGGAATTGGAAGTCTTGGGTTAAAATGTCAGCTTTGCCACTTGACTTGAGCAAGTTACTTTCTCTCCAAGCCTTAATTTTCCCCACCTCTGAAATGGAGATGATGATTTTTGAAATAACAACTAGGTCAAAAATATTTCTTCTCATTTTGAAAAATGTGCTATATTCTTGGTACATATTATTAGACTGTTGAATGCCAAAATAAATGCCCTAATTTTGGAAGATTAATAGGTTTGAATGAGTTGCCCAAAAGCAAAAGTTTTTAAATGAAAAAGGCCTTTGGAAACATAACCTGTTTGATCACAAACCATAACTATTAGATCAAAGTATATATTCTCTTTGATGTTTTATAAATTATGCATCTCAAGTCTTTAAATATTTTAATTTTGTTCTTGTGTATCAGTTATACACTAGGAGGCAGTGTGGTCTAACTCTAATTATAAGATCATAAGCTTTAGAGTTGGAAGGGACCTTAGAAATAAAATAGTTCAGCTCCTTCATTTTACACATGAAGAACCTGAAAATTAGAGAAGTTAAATCACTTGCCCAAGGTCACACAGATTGTAGGTCACAGTGATTAGCTTTGCTCCAAGTCTGCACTCTATCCACTAAATTGTGTTACTTAGAAACTCCATAATTTAGTTTTTTGAATCAATTAATGATACTTTGCCCAACTCTTAGACTATTTTTTAAGAGCAAAGAACTATAAAATGTTTGAGACAGTCTTAGAAAATGTTTCAAAAATTGCCCCTGTAGTTAGTAAATCAGGAGCTTTTCCATGCTTTATATTCTTTGAGAATTTCTGGAACACTATAAGGTTGTGATTTGACCGTGATCACATAGCTAGTATGTCTCAGAGGCAGAACTTGTACCAAGTTTTCCTGACCCCTGGGCCAGGTTTCTAGCTACTACACTATGCTGCCTCTGGGATTCAGAGTATTAATGGATGAAAAGTAGCATTGGGGTGAGATAATTTCTAAGTCAGTACCAGAGTAGAAATTATTGATTCTATTATTCCCAGAATGACAGAATTTTGGGTCTGGAATCTCAGAAATGTCTATCCTGTTGTCTTCACTTTACAAGTAACCACCAGGAGGTAGTTGAACATTGGCTTTAGAGTCAGAAGACTCTAGAGTCATAATTTTGTCGCATATTAGCCATATTTCTAAGAGCAAGTCACTTAACCTATTTAGACCTCAACTTTGTACTCCCTAAAATAGGCTCAAGGTGCCACCAACCCCATGAAGCCTTCTCTGATCCCTTTAGTTAATGTAAGTAGTGTGTATCTACTTAAGAGAGAGTGTGTGTGTATGTATGTGTGTGTGGGCACATGTACTCACTTCTCCACAGTAGAATGTAAGTTCCGTGATTTCAAGGACTATTGAGTATCTGCCTTGGTATCACCAGAACCTAGTACAGTGTGTATCCTGTTTGTTTTTCATAATATTAAGAAGTAATTAAGATTCCTTTAGTAACAAGAACTTTTTCCATCCAAAAACACACCATTTTGGGGGCATCTAGGTGGCACAGTGGATAGAGCACTGGCCCTGGAGTCAGGAGGACTGGCCTCAGACACATAACGTTTACTACCTGTGGGACTCTGCCAAGTCACTTAACCCCATTGCTTAGCAAAAAAAAAAAAATACCGTTTTTCTTTATACTAACTGATAAAATCAGTGAACATTCAAAAGCTTAATGGAATTCAGATATTTGTGTGTTCTCAATTTTGTCTAATGTTTTTATTATATTAATCACTAAGACATACCTCACATAAAATGGAAAGATAAAGTTTGAATTTTTATGAAGTGGTAACACATACAGTAATTTAAAGTTTAAAAAGAAGTTCTCTTGTAACAGCTTCATAAGGTAGGTAATACAAATATTATTCGTATTTTGCAGATGAAGAAACTGAGGCTTAGTTAGATGAAGTGACTTAGAGGGAACATTCAGTATTGTCAAGAGTGCTTTAATTCCAGTGCCAGGCCTACAATGTACATAAAGGTATACCATTTATCTATAGACAGTTATTCTTATATAATAAGAAAGGGCCTAGATAATTAGAATAGTAAAATCTTATAATTTGACAAGAAGAAATAACTTTAAGGACTCTGTATTTTTAAAAGCATTCGTCATGTATTCAGATTTTAGACTTTAAAATGAAAGTATTTAGGAACTTTAACTGCCTTCCAGAAATCACAAAAATGTAATCTAATTTTAAAAAGAATCTTGTTTAACTATTCCCACAGTTTATTTGCCAGTTTTTTAGAAAAAGGAAGAAAAAATTTAAAACAGGTCATTCTCTGTCAGAAAATATCCTTTAGGGATTATAGCTTTTGTTTTGCTTACATGTTGATTCATAACAAGCAACTGGCTTCAAGGAAGTGAAGCATGGCCAGCCTGGGCCAGTCCCCAAAATGGAGGCCCCATGAAGAAAATTGCCAATGAGAGAAGGATGCCAGCATGATTACTCAGATCAGCTAGTAAGCATTTAAGTGCCTGCTATGTGCAAGGCACTGTGCATGGTGGAAAGATATTCCAGGGTGAGAAGGTAGCTGAGACATGCTAGAAAGTCATGCAAATGACTGAAAGATATAGAGGATACAAGATTCTACTATGCTTATTGTTTGTTTGGGGTTTCTCAGTGGGGAGGGTAGTGGCAGGGGTGTTTTGGTTGTTTTGGAGGTTATTTTACTTTTCACTGAATGTGATGACTTTATTGATGTTGTGCAGTATAGGACTTGGTGCTTCTTCCCCTTAGAAGGACTGTGTTTGGGGCATAGGGACATAGATTAAGGATGTGGGCTCCCCAGTGGTAGAATTTCTCTTTTGGCTGATGATGAAGATCCATGACTTTCTCCTTTACCCCATAGAGGCCATGTAGACCATGTGGTTTACTATAATTGGTTACTGTAAACATTCTCAGTTTCAGCCAGCAAATGACCTTGCAAAATGGTCATTAAGGGCAGTCCCAGCACTAGCATCTTTTAAAGTCACAAGATACCACCTGGTCCTCTGCATAACCCAAGATGCCCCTCAAGGATCCCTCTGATAACTTGCTTCACCACTTTCTTGATATCATCGTATTGGGCAGGTTTCTCCAGGTGACAGATCAGATCCATTACAGATACAATAGGAGTAGGACCACAAAAGGCCATGCTTGTGAGATTTGGGGCAGTGCCACGCCCATCATGTTACAACTTGCCAGAGGGGCCATCTACTGTCTTCTTTGTAGGAATAATGGCATGGGTTTGTGATAGTAGGTTCTCCCACAAGGCTAAAGTTGTTGTTAATGACCTGGGACAGGGGAAACAATCAGTTGGTGTTGCAGGAGGCATTGCTAACAGGAATTACCATATTTCTCTTGGTTTACTCCCATCACAAAAGTAAGAATATCAGTAGAAGGGACAGAGGTGATTACATGCTTATCTCCACTCTTTAAGTGAGCCTGAGCTTCTTCCCAGGTGGTAAAGGTACCAGTGGACTCTGCTATATACTTCGCTCCAACATCTCCCCATTCAATATTGGTGGCATCACACTCCTATAAGCTAGTAACGGATTTTACACTGATTACCAGCTTTCCCTTCTGAGCCTTGCCAGTGCTTTTGAACCTGCCATGGGTAGAATAATTGGAATATATAAATGATGTATTTGAGGTCAGTGAATGGGTCGTTGATAGCCACAACATCCACTGTGCCTGAGCTAAATGAAGCCTGGTCACAAGGCACCCAACAAAGCCAAATCAGTAGGCAATTGAATGAACAAACCATAGAACCTTATTCTTTTTTTTTTTTTTGACAGGTAATGAATATGAACATTGAGTTGGAATTGAATAGGAGGAAATGAATAAACTAGATTGCATTTGGGAGACTATAAATGTTGACCCCAAATTTCAGCCTGAAATGGAATACTAATATTCCTTTGGTAGCATCATGTAAGTAAGTCATGGAATACTTCAGGCATCAAAGAATTAGAGTTGATTACCCAGAGAGCAATTGAAAGACACATGTCAGGCATGAGCAGACCACATGTAAGATGTTATGGGCAAAGCGTTACAAAGTAAAGTCCTTGTAAAAGATGACCTAAAAAAAAAAAGAAAAGAAAAGATGGGCTGGTCAAATGGCAAGAATGAAGGAAAACAAACAGATAGGCTACTTACACTATCAGTATCTTCCTTTTAAAGAAAAAAAAATTTAATAAGTTTTTATTGGTATCTTCTGTTTCTTACATCATCATAGATATCCCTAGTATCTTTCCCCATTGCAGGGCCATCTCATATAATAGTAATTTTTAGAGAAGAAAAAAGTCAGCACAATTGATTAATTCATTGAAAATGTCCAAAAATATGTGTAATGTGTAATACTGTGGACCTCCAACTTCCATGAAGGGGTGGGTTGGGGTGTCCTGATATCTCCAAGTCCTGCTTATATAATTTTGTCATATTTACTTTTGGGTTTTGGATGTGTAGTTGTTCTTTCCATTTACATTGTTGAAGTTAACTATGTATATTGTGGGGGTTTTTTTGAGGGCAGCTAGTTGGCACAGTGGATAGAGTGCTGGGCCTGGAGTCAGGAAGACTCATCTTCCTGAGTTGAAATCTGGCTTCAGACATTTACTAACTGTACAACCCTGGGCAAGTCACTTAACCCTCTTTACTGGAACTGGTGAAGGAAATAGCAAACCACTCTAGTATCTTTGCCAAGAAAACCCCAAATGGCGTCAAGAAGGGTTAGACACAACTGAAAAAGACTGAACAGCAGTTGTTTTCTTGGCTCTATTTACTTCACTGCATCGGTTCATGTAAATCTTTCCATATTTCTCTATATTTATTACACACATCATTTCTTATAGCACAGTACTATTTCATTACATTTATGTACCACAATTTATTTAGCCATTCTACTTTGTTTTCAGTTTTTTGTTGTCACTAAAAATGCTGCTATAAATATTTTGGTGGATATGGGAACTTTCTTATTGGTAGCTTCCTTGAGGTGTACGGCCCCAATAATGGAGTCTAGTTCAAAGTCTGTGGACAGTTTAGTCACTTTATTTGCCTAATTTCAGATTGCTTTAAAAAGTGGTTGTACCATTTCACAGCTCTACTAACAATGTATAAATGTGCCTCTCCTTCCAGAACCCTTTCACCACTGACTGCTCCCATTTTTTTGTCATTTTTGCCAATTTGCAGGGTGTGAGCTGAAACCTTAGAGTTGTTTTGGTTTGCATTTCTCTTATTAGTGATTACGAGCATTCTTTCATGTGGTTGCTAATACTTTATCATTCTAATTTTGAGAACACTTTATATCCTTTGACCACTTATATATTGAGAATGAGAAATATACCAAACCCTTGGCAAAGACATTTAATGCAAAGATTTTTTTCCCCATTTGACCACTTCCCTTCTTATCCCTAGGCACATTGAACTTTTGTAATTGCCTCTACCTCTTGTTTGGTTAAGAATGCATCTCCTGCCCATAGTTGTGAGAGGTATATACTCTTTCTCTTCTAATTCCTTTATAGTATGATCTTTAATAGTAAGGTCATATATCCATTTAAAATGTATTGTGAAATATGGTGTAAAGTGTTTGTCTAAGACTAATTTCTGCCTGACTGCTTTCTAGTTTTCCCAGCAGTTTTTATCAAATTAGTTTTTTCATAAGTTTCCATTTTATCATACTGGGTTATTGAGTTCTTTTGTTTCTTAATCTCTTTGTCTAGTTCCATGGATCTCTGTTTTTTTTAACTGGTACCAGATGATTTTTATGACTGCTGCTTTATAATATATTTTGAGGTCTGGAAGTGCTATTTCACTCTTCAACCTTACTTCTTTTCATTATTTCCTCTACTATTCAAATCTTTGGTTTTTCCAAATAATTTTTTTATTATATTTTCAAGTTCTGTAAAGTATCTTTTTGGTAATTTGACTCATATAGAATTTAAAATGTAAATTAGTTTTGCTAGTATTATCATTTTTATTGGGCAGCTAGGTGGCACAATGGATAGAGTGCTGACCCTAGAGTCAGGAAAACCATAGGTGAATCACTTGACACTTTGTGCCTCAGTTTCTTTCTCTTTAAAATGATCTGGAGGAAATACCAAACTGCTCCAATATCTTGGTCAAGAAAACCCCAAATGCGGTCGTGAAGAGATGGACACATTTGAAAAACAACTAAACAGCATTATTTTTTATTATATTGGCATGGCCTAGACATGAGCACTGAATAGTCCTCCAGTTATTTGGGATTTTCTTTAAGGAACACTTTGTTAATGAATCTATACAAGTCTTTGGTATGCTTTGGTAGGTCAGTTCCCAGATATTTTATGCATTTTTAGTTATTTGTTATTATCTTCTTAATGTCTAGAGGATTTGAGGAAGACTGTCAGCATGTTAAGTGGATTCTATGTGGTAAACTTGTGGAAAGATATGGAAAAGTGTCAGAAATGGATTGTGACCTGCATCAATGGAGTCAATCACCCATATTAATTAAATCACAGATCCTTTACATTATTGCATAATTTAATAATATTGCAAAATTAAGAATTTAAATGGAGTTGGATAATGTGAAAATAGGCATTTTTTAAAGGACAGTGATGCTCAAAGGTTTCTGAAGGTCATTGGGGAAAGATGGTCTATTTTAGAATTTAATATGTTCAGAATTTTGTTGTATATGCTCTTGGTTTAGATATGAATTAATCATTTGTTTATGGTATTTCTCAATAATGGCTCCTCAAAGATAATTTCATGTCTCCTTTTAATTTTGAATTTTTTACTTTTATTTTCAGTGAGAAGTGAAACTTAGTCAGCTTTGTTTGTGCTTTTAGTCCATGGTCCTGCAAAGGTAGCCAGTGAACCAAAATATGTAGAGCTATTGCCCAAGGAGAGAACTATCAGGTCATATGAACTTTCTCCTTTTCATCTTATAGATATTAAACTTCTAGCACGTTTTATGGAATTACGAAGCATGTGAAGAACTTCAAATCATAGTCACATGAACTTCCAAAGCTCAAGACCAGAGCTGTTGCTCTAATTTATAATACACTTGATTTGGAATCAAGAGGACCTTGATTCAAGTCCTAGCCTAGATACTCACCGGCTGTGTAACTTTTGGCAAATTGTTTAATCTCTCTCATCTTTAGTTGCCTCATCTGCAGAATGAGAATAATTTTGAAGAGCAAATAAGTAATGTATGTAAAGTGCTTTGCAGATTTTAAACCACTATATAAGAAGTATTATGATTAGTATCATTAGCCTAATCAATACCTTTGATGTTACATGACACAGTTCAAGAAAGAATTGCAAAAACCGATGCTATTTTAAATCTTTCCTTAGTGTTTTTCCCTCCTTTTCCCAGACATTTCAAAATAAAATAAGCTCAGCATGAACAGTAATACCACAAATACCCCCAACCACATTTTTAATGTTTCCTCTTCACTTTATGTGAGTCTGTTCTACCTGTTCTCTCTCTTTTCTGTCATTCTCACATGAATAAGTCACATCATTTACCACTCCTGCTTTGTCTCTAAGTCTCAAACCATATTCTGCTTATTTAACCACATTGTGCTCTATCTTTGTGTTTGTTTCGTTTTGTTTTTCAGATTGTAAAACTAGCTGTTTATGGAATGTTACCAAAGAACCTCCACAGAAGAACCATGATGCAAAGGCTACATCTTTTTCCAGATGATGTAAGTCTTAATAGCTGTTCTTAATGATCATTTGTTTTCTCTATATTAATCATATTTTTATTGAAGTCTTTCTCAGTCATGTAAATCCATACACATGCTTTTAATAATCTTTTAAATCAGCTTACCAGTTGTTTAAAAATGGGTTCATATATAAGTTTAACATTGATATTGATTTGTCATCTGGTTCATTTTAGTGTAATATAATTTCCTTATTTATATTTTTTACATAGTGAGTCTTTGTTTTTGCTTCATCTGATAGCATGATTGCAACTTATGCTTTTTTGGATTCATCTGATGCATAGTAAATTTTGTTTTAGCCCCTCATTTTTATCTTGTATGTGTCTTTGCTTTTTAGGTATTTTTTTGTAAGCAACAGATTGTTGAATTTTGTTATCTTTATCATTCATGTTCATATTTTTTGGATTGTTTAATCCATTCACATTTAAACTCATGAGAATTAGGTTTATATTTTCCTCTGTCTCTACTATTGGGTTGTTTTATGGTTAGGAATTTTTTTTCTGATTTAGGCTTTTTTTGTTGTTGTTGTTCCTCTCCTTCTATAAAGTCAGGACTTTGTCTCTTCAGTTATTTTTACCTATTCTACTTTAAGGTAACTATTCCAGCGGGTCCTCTTTCCCTCACCCTAAAAGCATTTCTTGTTTATCACCCCTTTCCCAAGTTTTGGAGTTTCTCTTATTAATCCCCCTTTTTCCCCTCCTTTTATTTATTCAATTCTTCCTTTTTTAAAATCAGTTAACTAGTTAAGTAAAATCCCCCTTCTTTTCTTTACCTTCAGTTTCACGTTTGTTAGGGGTTTTTTTTGTTTTCTGTGCTTTTTTCTAAAAAGGATTTATTTCCCTCATTCTCTTCATTAATTCTCTTAACCTTTCTATCCAAGACCTTTATTCTTGATTCCTGGTCCTCTTACTTATTTATTCATTTTTAGTTTCTTCGTTCTGCATGGAGTTAAAGTTTGTAAGGTACCTAATTTAAGTTTCCTCTTCTAAACATTTTCTATGCCTTATAATTCTTGACCCTTCTTCTACTCCTTTTTTTTAACCTTTTTTCTTCTGTTGTGCCTTAGAAGTATCAATTCCTGCAGCAGATAGCATAAAACTATTGCCCTATAGTAGAGATTTTCCTGTGCTTCTGATTATACAGTTCATTACTATCCAGTCTTTTCCATGATCATTTTTTTTCTTTTACCATGAATCACCTCTCTTGGTCCACACACCTCCCACCCTTTTTGATGTCAGATTGCCTTCAGGAGCTCTGGGGAGTGGTCACTTTTAAGTACCATGTAAGGTTCCCAACTCCTGCATCAGAATCATCTCCCTCTTCTTCCTCCATGGCAGTATTCTTCAGTGGGATCCACACCCACCCCTGAATCAAGATTTCCTCCTTTTTTAGTCATTGTTTAAATTCCTCCCTTTGCCACAACATATTGTCCTATACCCCCTTCTTCTGACAGACCATAGAAGTTATTTTCCCTTCGTTGTTTTTACCATTGCCTTAGTTAGGTTACATCACACATTTCCGTATACCTTCTTTCCTCCCCTCTCTCCTTTAATATGTTCTTCTAATCTGCAGTTTAGTCATACAAAAAACTTTGGTGCGCCTGTAGGTGGAGTGTTGTGAAGTTTAGTCCTTGATGTTTCAGAGGCTATTCTTCCTCAATCACTTCCTCTATTAAATTCACTTTTATTCTTGTCTACTTGTATACTTTTAGAAAAAACACTTTTAATGGTCCCTCCATTGTGGTGGTGTTCTTTTTAACTTCAAAGATGCCTTTCTATTTTAGGTTCCCCTCCCCCCCTTTTTTCTGGAGTAAATTTTGTGGTAAAATTTGTGCCTTTTTTGGTTGCTGAATTTGTTTACCTTATTGGCTTTCTGTTGTCTAAGTTGTTTGCAAAGCAAATAACCCACTCAGGTGATTTTTTTTTTTGGTAGGAGCATTTCATATGCCTCTCTTGTGTTTGGATTCATTCACTAATATTGATTCAAAAATTTTAAATAAAATTCTTAGCAAAAGGACTCCATCAGTATATCCAGAAAATTATTCACTATAACTAGGTCAAATTAAGTGTTGGCAAGGATGATTCAACATTAGGAAAAGAATTAGCAAAATTGATCAAATTAAAAGCATCTGAAGTGATGTGAGTATATTAGTAGAGTAAGAATTTTTTTTTTAGAAAAAGAATTATATAATTATAAAAGAATTATATAATTCTCCCTATCTGGCTGTGGTTAGAAGGACAGCAGTGTTATAAGATTAGGCCTGATGGTCTTGAGACCACCATGATAGTCTCACCTTGAGGGAGGCTAAAAGCTTACAAAATGTACTCAGAGAAGAATACTGACAGCAAAATTTTTCAAAGGTAGTACAACTGTGTCCCCCAAATAATATTTTGTCTATCACCACTCTGTTTTTCTCCCTAATAACAAATCCCCAAAATAATGTTCTGTTTTGTTTGGTTTGGTTTGGTGAGGCAAATGGGGGTTAAGTGACTTGCCCAGGGTCACACAGCTAGTAAGTGTCAAGTATCTGAGGCAGATTTGAACTCTGGTCCTCCTGACTCCAAAACAGAAGCTCTATCCACTGTGCCACCTAGCTGCCCCTCAAATAATATTTTGGCCTGACCTGCAAGCTAGTCATCTCCAAAATCAAAGTATAAGAACTCCAATTTCAGAAGGGCACGATGTAGCACACCCTCCCCTCCAGATATAGCACACCTTCCTCCTGATTGGAACTATGTCCCTTTGCTCTCTAACAAAACACTACTCTTACGTGAGTTTTATTCTATGTTAGTGTGCATGCCTGAGTTGGGTCCCTTTTTCCTCTTTCCCTTTCTCTCTCTTCCCCATTGCTTGCAAATAAAGTGTTGCATTGAACTGCTTCCCGTTGTTTTACATACTGTTCTCAGCATCTGAGTTCATCAAGGGGTTGTTTTTCCCAGCGTTTTTGGCTAGGCTACAGACCTTTCCTTAGACATAAACTGGGTACCCGGACAAGGACTTAACCTATTGACAGCCACACCTGCAGGGGGAGTATGGCACTGTAGGCCTAGTCGTAGAAAGCAAAGGTCAATAGAGGGACTCCCTTATACCAAAGGACTGCCACAAAATAATCAGCCACTCATAGATCCAATCGCACTGCTGATCCACATAGAAGCTTTTAGCCTGTTCTGTTTCCCTACACTAAGCCAAACCACTCCTCCTTAGGAATCCTGATCTCCCTTTCCTCCTCCCACTACTCCATTGCCTGGGGCTTTCCATATTCTTGCCAAACTTAGTGAAGACCCTCATTTATCTTTAACTCTTGGCAGTTTAGAATTCCTGAATTCAAGTGATCCATCAGCCTTAGCTTCCCCAGAAACAAGGATTTTAAGTATGCACTACCATTCCTGGCTTTATAATCAGTACTCATGCCCCATTTCTCAAAGATTTAATCTATTGGCAGTTTCCTCTACTATTTCAACACAAGACTTTAGGCAATGTACATTTTATACCTGCCTTTTGAAAAAATTTTATTTTTACAAGTATTCTTTATCTCTCTCTCCCGTTGCCTCTGCCCAAACAATTTAAAAGAAACAACCAAAAGTAAGCCTAGTCTATCAAAACAAATCCTCATATTAGATATGTCCAAATTTGCATGTCTCATTCTGGATTTTATGTCCATCTCCTCTCTGGCTGGTGAGTGGAATTATTTGTCTTCTGTCCTCTGGACTCATGATTTATCCTTTGTTAATCATAGTTCCTTGTCTTTTAAAGTTACTTTTCTAAATTAAAGTTCTCATTTTGTGTAAATTGTTCTACTTCTGCTCACTTCACTCTATCAAATTAGAGAAGTCTTCCCAGTTTCCTCTGACACTGTCCATTTTCACATATTTTATGGAACAATAATATTCAATTACATTCATATACCACACTTTGTTTAGCTGTACCCCAGTAGATGGGAACCCCTTTGGTTTCCAGTTTTTTGCTACTACGAAAAAAGCTGCTATAAATATTTTTGTACACATGGGCCCTTTGATCTTTTTGGGACAAAGGCGGAGTAGTGGCATAATTGGCTTAAAAAGTACAATCAGTTTAGTAAGTTTTTTTGAATAATTCCAAATTGCTTTTTAGGATGACTGTACCAATTCCCAGCTCTACCAACCATGCACTAATGTGCCTGTTTTCCTGTAGCCCCTCCAACCTGTCATTTTCCTCTTTTGTCATCTTAGTCTGATCAGGGTGAGGTAGAACCTTAGAGTTCCTTTAATTTGCACTTCTCTATTAGTGATTTGGAGCGTTTTCCATATGGTTATTGCTAGCTTAGATTTTGAGAGCTCTTTGTTCTTCTCATGCCTGTCTTAACAATTATCTGAAAGATGTTTTTTAAAGCTCCTTTAAGAGATCCGAGTTTCCAAATCTTTCCTCCAGAACAAGTATCATTGATAACTAATTATTTGTGGCATATTTACTTAAGATCAAGTTATATAATTGTCATATATCCAGACTTTATAGTACAGCAAGTTTATTGTACAATCCAACTGCACAGTAGAAATATGGTTAGTTTAGGGGCAGCTAGGTGGCGCAGTGGATAGAGCACCAGCCCTGAAGTTGGGAGGACCTGAATTCAAATGCGGCCTCAGACACTTGACATTGACACTTTCTAGCTATGACACTTAACCCCAACTGCCTAAAAAAAAAAAAAAAAAAGAAAGTTTGTTTACATGACTTGTTGATGAAGCTACAGTGATTCAGAATGATTAATGTTTGCATTCTAAATGCTCACAAATTGTGTGATATTTTAAAAATATATATTTTATAGCATTTTGCCAGGAATTGAAACTAAATTTACTGGCTGATAATAGGCTATCTACCTACTTTTTGGAAAATCAGAATACCATTTGTCCATTTCTGTTTGCTGAATTATGTAATCTTAGAATTGAAAGAAATCTCATAGGTCACCTAATTTAGCTGCTACCTGAACAGAAACCCTCTCTACAATGTACTTAATAAGTGATCATCCAGACTTTACTTAAGACCTCCAGCGAAGATGAATTTGGTGAAAAGGCAGCCCATTCCAATGTTTGATAGCTCTGATTGTTAGATTTTCTTCCTTATAGACAGATCTTCACTTCTTACATAGTTTATTATGTCACCTTTCTCTTCTTTCCTCTTATCTCTTCTTCCTTCTGTCCTTTCCTCCTTCTTTCCTTCCTTCATTATTTCCTTCCCCACCTCTCTCATTGAGGCTGGAAGTGCATGGGCTGTTTATGGAACCAGTACCACTACTGATCAGTATGGGAGCTTTGATTTACTCCATTTCCAACCTGGGCTAGTTCTCCCCTCCTTAGGCAACCTGGTGCTGCCCATCCTCCTGCTCCTAGAACTCACCATATTGATTCCAGATTAATGTGGACAACCAATTGGCTTAGCCCACTGCAGCTCAGAACTCTGGAGCTCAAGAGATACACCAGCCTCAGCCTTCCCCCTATCTGGGATTATAAGCATGTACTACTGAAGCTGTCTAGTAGTATCTTCCTAACAGTTTCTCCTTACCTCTAATCTCTGTTCTTTTCAATTCATTTTGCATATGGCTGTCAATGGCATAGTAATCTGATAGGACATTCATGTCATTTCTTTCTCCAAAACTTAGGGTGACTCCTTCCTTCCCACCACATCAAGTCTGTGAGCTCTTCTTCCTGGTTTTTAAGACTTTGTATAATGTAGCCCAACCCAAATCTTACTTTTCACTATTCCTTGTATATCCCTTCTGTATAATAGGCACTTTTGAAGTACTTGTTATCAAGAGAGTTTAGCTATTTTAGTGAACTAATTACATATCGGTTAAGTGTTCTTTTGTTTTTTTCTTTGAATTATAAGGATAGGACCAGGTTATCTATGACAGGGTTTCAGAGTACCTTTCTGTTTAACCTATATAACATAATGCAGTACTTTGGAAATGAAAAGTATTTGTTAGGTTTTGGTTTGAATTGAATTCATAATTTGTTAGATTTTACTCCACATAATAATTAGGAAGCGTTTTCCATATTATTACATAAATTTATTTTACTTGCTTTTAGAAATTTTTATCGATTGCTTTGTTTTTTCCGTCTCCTAGACTTCCTCATCCATCTTCCTTCTCTTCCCCCTTCCCCTTCCCAGATACTCATCCTCTACAGTAAAGATTTTTTTTTAAAGAAAAGAGAAAAAAATTTCACAAAAACTGTCCAGTATATTAAAAAATGTCATTATATGCAAAGTTCTACATCCCTGGATCACCACCAGCCATCCTCACCTTTATATGGGACAGGATGATGAAGGCAGGGGAGAGTGTCCTCCCATATCTTCCTCCATAATTTCACAGGATTCTTTTTTTTTAATAATAAAAGATTTTAAGAATTTTTTGATTACTTAAAATGAAAAAAAATTCATTTCAATTGTAGGAGATTCCAGAAGACATACTTAAGAATATAGTAGAAGAGCTTCCTCAGCCACGAAAAATCCCTAGAAGGCTAGATGAATATACCCAAGAAGAAATTGATGCTTTTCCAATATTATGGGTTCCGTAAGTGTCAATTACTGTTATTTTATTTCTTTTTAATCTGAATTTAGTTTGTTCTATAAACTTCAATTAAGTAATAATTCCCTGAAGGCCAAGGAATTTTATTAAAACCTTATGATTAAAGTAATAAATTTTATTTATTTCTGTTCTCTCCACAATACCTATAATATTATCTGTTCATAGCAAGCACGTAGAAAATGTTAGTCAGCAGAACAAATGTCTTTCACCCCAAGTTTTAACCCTTAGACTGACAAGGCTATTGGTCCTTCTGTTGCAGGTCATTGTAAAGGATATTGTATTTTTATCATTTTTTTCATATGTAAGCTCTACAGTTAATAATCTTGCCATTCAAATGGTTATGATTGATCAATAAGACATATACTTTTTTCATAATTGTAATTTTATCAGACAGTTTTGACAATTAATTCAGAGTAAAGTAAGCTATTTATCATATTATGTATGTATCTTGCCTTGCCAGTTCATTTGTGAGGGTACTTCTTTGTATTCCTAATACCTAGTATGCCTAGTATTTTATAAACCTTAAAGGACTCATAAAATATTAGCTGTTATTATTACACTGCTGTGTCCAAAGTAGATGCATGATAATGGCAGTAAATATATTACTTTTAACTAACAACAACAAAAAAACCAAAATCAAGACATTTAAGACAGTTTCTTCAAAACAAAAAGTTGTTCCTGTTTTTCTATTCTTTTTTGTGTGATTAATAAAGTAAAACACACAATCACTTTTCCGCACCCTAGTATTCTAATGCAGCATATTTTCCAAGGGAGATTGGTTATCTGGAAAACATTTTACTAGTTCTCTTTTTTTTTCTGGATTATCACTGTTTCTGGACAAACAACCCTTTTGACATTATGCAAATGATTTAAATGATTGTATACGTAACTTTTGCTTTCATTTCTGTAGCTCTTAGTATTGGTTTAAAAACAGCTGTTTGAATGCCCTCTCTTGTAAATTGAAGACATCCTTAGAACATCCAAGTTATGAAAGCTTCTTTGCATCTCAGTCCTAACTTTGAGCACTTGGTCTTGAAGAATGAGCAGGACCTGTTGATTCTTTGACTACATTAGTGGAGAGCATTGTGCAGTGGAAAGAATACTGCACGTGTTGTCAGAGACACCAGTTTTAGTCCCAGCTTGGAGACCTGCTAGTTGTTTAGACAAGTCACTTCAACTCTTTAAACCTTAGTGTTTTCATTTTTTAAATGGGAATAATCGTAGCAGCAATACATTCCTCATACTGTTATTATAAGGAAAATCATTTAGAATCATAGATCTTGAACTGGAAAGGACCTTCGAGGCAATTCTGGAGATGAGGCCCAGAATAGTTGTATCTTGCCTAAAGTCACACAGATAGTAAGTGACAGAGGCAAGATTTAAACCAAGATCCTTTGACTCTGGAGGCAATGCTATTTGTAAACCATGGAGTTCGTATGAATGTAGTAATCCTATTATTATTGTTTCATTTTATACATTTCCTCCCTCTGCATATGTGTTTATTTCCTTCCTGATTCTCTTCCTGCTTCATTTTGATAGTTGAATGTAAAATGGGGTTTTTTTGTATAATCTCATATAAAACATCCCATCTCCAGTTTCCATGCCTTTGCACAAGCTGTCTGTCTGTGGGTCTGAAATTCATTCTACCATCATCACTGTTACTAGAGTGACTAAATCACTTCACAGTTCAGCTCAAATACACATTGGTACAACTTGCCGGAGATCTCTAGGTCTAATTCAGTGGGACACATTTTAGGAAATTAGAATCATCCCTAAACTACATCCTTAGCTTGAAGCCCTGAAGCACTTAGGCTCTACTGGCATGGCCTAAAAAATGTCAGGGTTCACCTGGCCTAATGCAGTGTCCTCATTTCTGTGGAAGATGAAAACTGGAAAAAGACTGGTGGTTCTAGTGGTAAGGAGGTCAACAGAAATGCTAGAAAGAGTAGTTCTAGTAGAGGCCTGTCTAAAAGAAAATTCCTTTTAATATTCCCATTTGAAGCAAGCATTTAGTATTGCATGTTTAGTAGGTCTGTCACAGCAAGCATGCTAATTGCGTAGCCTGGGGATCAGCAAACTGCAGCTGGCTGACCTGCTGATGCCTCTTTTGGGCCATAAAGCTGAGAATGTTTTTTTACATTTTAAAATAAAGCTTTATAGTATTTAAAAATGTAAAAAATAATTCTTAGGTTGCCAGCTTATGAGGGCCATAGTTTGTGGACCCTTGGTATAGATTTTAAAAGTCCCCACAGAAATGAGGTGGATATGACCCTGAAATTTTTTAGGCTATGCCATTAGAACATAAATGCTTCAGGGCTTCGAGCTAAGGATCTAGTTTAGGTATTATTGTCAAACATGTACCAGTATACCCCTGATATAAAAGCAGAAGATGTAAATAAAAATTTATTGGGGGGGGGGTACATTAGGAAGTCATTTTTTGCCAATCTTGTCTCATGGTCCAAATGAGTTTTTCAAGGTCTACTTTAGTGGGACAGATTTTAGGGAATTAGAACCATCCCTAAATTAGATCCTTAGCTTGAAGCCAATCAGTCAGTAACTTTTTATTAAGCACCTACTATATGCCAGGCACTGTGCTAACTAGGGATACAAAGAAAGACAAAATATAGTCCCTACTTTCAAAGAGCTCACAATGTAGTGAGGGAAGACAACACGTGAAAAGAAGCTTGTAAAGGGGAGGGAGGGAAGTAAGGGTACCCATGTGGAAGCATGATGAAGCCCTACAGCCAGGTGAGAAGGGATAAGGTGTCTACCCTGTGCCCCTCCTTAAGTAGAAGGTCTAGGAGGAGCTTTCTGATGTCACCCTCCACTCTCTCCAATCAGAGAGTCCCCAGTACTCAGGTGACCTGGGTACTAAGAAGGCATGAGTTTCAGAGTTGATTTGATCTTTCAAAAAGATGAGTTTCTGGAAACAGTAGTGAAATCCACGTGAGCAGCCAGGTAGGAAACGAAGCTGTCTAAAAAAATTAGCTAAAGAACGACTATGATGAGAAACAGTATAACTGAAGTAAGAGTATTGACTCCCAGGTCATAGAACTGGGATTCAAATTCCACCTCTGATGCTTACTACCTGTATGATTTGGGACAAGTTGTTTAACTTCCCTGGGCCTCAGTTCCCTCATGTGTAAAATGAACAGGTTAGGGGCAGCTAGGTGGCGCAGTAGATAGAGCACTGACCTTGGAGTCAGGAGGACCTGAGTTCAAATCCAGCCTCAGACACTTGACCCTTACTAGCTGTGGGACCCTGGGCAAGTCACTTAACCCCCATTGCCTCAAAAAAAAAAATGAACAGATTGGACTAAAAGAATTGAAGTTCTTTCAAATTCTGTCCAAATCTATGATCCTATGATCAGTCAGCAGACATTAAGAGCCTCCTACATGCTAGGAACTACATTAGGCCATGAATCTACAAATACAAATGAGATACCATGTAAAGTATTTTTACAAACAGTATGAAACAAGCCCTCCTTTAAGAGAGCTTAAAGTCTAATGGAGAAGAAAAGAATATAAAAATATATACAACATAAAGTGAAAAAAAAAACAGAGTAGTTCAATACCGTGTAGTTTAGGAGTGTGAGCACTAGCATTTGGGAAGATCAGAAAAGGTTTCATACTGAAGGTGGTGCTTTGGCTGCCTTCTAAAGGAAGAGAAGGATTCTGTGAGGTAGAGGTAAGAAGAAATGTATTCTCAGCATGTAGACTGGCCAGTGTAAAAGGCAAGAAGATAGAAGGTGAAGTATTGTGTATGAGAAAGAAAGAGAAGGCCAACATGACTGAATCACATATTGCCAGAGGGGGGTTCAATGTCCAATAAAACTGCAAAGGTAGGTTTGGGCCAGGTTGTGTAGGACTTTAAAAGCTAAACAAGAGTTATTATATTTTATCCTAGAGGCAATAGGAAGGTCCAAGACTTGATTGAGTAAAAGATTCACATCTTCATGTCGATGCTTAAGGAAGATTACTTTGGCAGCAATGTGTCTGGGATGGACTGGAGTAGTAAGACTCTTGAGGCAGGAAGACCAGTAGGATGCTGTTCGAATAATTTAGGTGATAAGGACTTGAACTAAAGTGGTAGTTGTGTGATTGGAGAAGTTAGGACATATACCTATGATATTATGGAGGTAGAAATGGCAAGGCTTGCAACTGATCAGATATGTGGAGTGAAGGAGAAATAAGGAATCCGAGATAATACTAAGATTACACACTGGAGATTAAAAAGAATGGTTATGCAATCAACAGAAACAGGGAGGTTTGGAAGAAGGGAAAGGTTTTGGAGGAAGGATAATGAGTTCATTTTGGCACAGTGAGTCTAAGATGTCTCAAGTACATCCAATTTGAAATGTACTATAGGCAGTAAAGGACTGGAGATCAGGAAAGAGATTGAGGCTTGATATATAGATCTCAGAGTTGTAAAGATGATAGCTAAATTCTGTGAAACAGATAAAGACAGAGAGAGAGCATGAGAATAGAGTGAGAAAAGGCCTACAGTAGAATCTTAAGGAACTCCCACAATTAGGGGGCATGATATATATGGTTCAGCGAAGGAGACAGAAGGAACAAAGGAGATAAGAGGTAAACTGAGACAGTAGTGTCACAAAATTTCAAGAAGAATAAATTATCCCGAAGGAGAGGGTGGTCAACAGTGTCATCCTATATGAAAGACCAGAATGTATAATCTGGAGATGGCTCATGTATGTTAAACCTTAGCCTTGACAGACTTGCTTTGGAATAGGTATATGAGTTATATTACAGTTCAAGAATTGAGGGACTTAGCCATGATATCAATTTGCCCCATTCATAGCTAACTAGATATTTTAAACGTGGGGAAATTTTTTCTGGATATCTTTCAAAAGCATATGAAAAGCAAAGGAAAACAAATAAGAGATAAAATTCAAGTCATTAATCTCTGAGGCCATGATTATTTCCAAGGCTGAATTAAATTATCCTGGTTCAGTTTCATACATAAG